AAAAGTTTAAAATTGAAATAAAAAATATTTATTAACAAATAAAAAAAAATTACGATCTAATGATATGATATGGTATAAATAAAAAAACATATCAAAAGCCAAAAGGCACTGGCGTTTCGTCGTTTTTGTCTACTTTTCTGTCTATTCTGTCGAATTTCTTCGTCCCTTGCTATTGTTTTTATATATTGTATCTTTTGTTAAGTGATAAATAATTATATCTAAAATTCAATACCTGTCTCTCAAAAAAATATTTACATAAATAGAGTCATCTGATTGATCAGAAGCAAAACAGCCAAAAATGCCTAGGTTCGATGCTCAATCAGATGTCTTTAAAGAACTTTTTTTTTATATAACTATTTTTTTTTTAATAAAAGGTAATGTATTTAAATATTTAAAAAATAAATTTCATTTGATTAGTCTCCAAAATTTTGGGACATAGCTTAACTATAGACTGCTAAAAATAAGATAATTTATCCCAACTTACCTATAACCAAAATTGACTGGTCGGTAGAAACAATATAATTTTGATATAAAAATAATTTCCCACATAAAAAAGATAGGCTGTGGTCGATTTTTATGATTGTTGGTATGTCATTGAACAATTTTTATACAGGGTTGGGCAAAATTGGAGGAACACCCGAATTGTGGCTTCATTAACCCTTATAAAGTTTTTTGTATATATAATGCACTATTTACTGACGCTTGGGGAGTTTTATTATCTGTAATTTTTTTCAAGATGACGTCATCGCAAGAAATTTTAAATGAATCACCACATATTTATATTTTTTACGGATAGATTTTTTCTTAAATCCACCAATGTAGGGTTTGAGGGTCTCTTAGTTCATAATAAAATAGAGTGTACACATTTAATTAAAAGAAAATAATAATTACTTTATCGAAGTACACAAATCTTTTAAAGTAAGTATTCAAAGTGAAAGCCTCCAATTGCCTGACAATATTGCCGCGTTTAGGGTTTTTATGTTTCCCTAAACGAGCTGAGGGGTTAATTATAGCTAGATGGTAGAACTACTTTAATAAAACATAATAATAATAATAATAATAATAATAATAATTGAGAATATTTATTTAATAAGTAAATGATTTAGTTTAAAACAGGAAAAAGACAATCTCCATTGAATAATGATAAAAATAACAAATTAATTAGGTACTCACCAAGGGTACACCATTTTAAGAGGGATGGTGCTTGTTTTGCTCTTTAAAACCAAGTGATTAATTATATTTAATATTTTATAAAGAAAGTTCGGGTTCATGCACTTTTGCTTGATCAGGTAATTCGTTGAACCGCGTTTACTGCTGTCTTTGCACCTTCAACGAATTTCCATAAAAGTATCAATTAATTAAGAAACTTGAATTTACACTTCCTCTTTAGAAATAATATCTTTAAATAAACTAAACAATGAATGTGACAAATGAAAATAATAATTTAATATGAGATAAATATTTTTTAATAAATGAATAATTATTTAACTATTTTACCTATAGTACATGAACCCTAAATACATTATTTGACAATATCCTAGTCTACCAACCAATGATCTTAAGGCATTTTGATAAATTTCAGGTGTTATTTCTTGAGCACCAATTTTTATTTTGTCTTCCAGCAAATGTGTTAGGTCTTTATAAACAACTGATTTCAAATGATCCCAAAGAATAAATCAAGTATGGATAAATCTAGTAACCGTACCGATCACTCAATATGTCCTCTTTCACCCACCCATCTCTACGGAAATATTGTGTTCATGTATTGCTACACTCTAGCACCATCTTGATGGAACCAAATTTCATCAGAAATTTATAGATGATTTCTATGATTTAGAAATAAACAAACTAACTCTGGAACTCTCTGCTCTTAAAGAAGTTGCAAATAAAGATTACCATACAGAGTTCCTCTCATGAAGAATGGTCCATTAACTGGGTCAACTTTCGTTTAGCCGAAATCAGTTACGTAAAAATTGTTGCCATGGCAACCGTTGCCATGGTAACCAGTAAACAAAAACCCAAATATCGTGGTAAGGAAATGCATAGTTGCCAAATTATAGATTATTTAATGTTCACTTTAGTTTAGACGAAATCAGTTATGAGAAACTCTTGCCTTAGAGACACTTGCCATGGTAACGACTAAACAAAAACCCAAATCCTGTGGTAAGAAAATGCATAGTTGGCAAGTTACAGGTCATTTAATTTTCACTTTAGTTTAGCTGAAATCGGTTATGGAGATGTCGTAATTTCGACTAAACAAAAACCTAAATCTAGTGGTGAGGAAATGCGTAGTTGCCCCTTATATTTAGATTAACTCTTAACACAATATTCTAATCTAAACTAAAGTGAAAATGAAACCATCTATAACTTGTCAACTAGGCATTTTCTCACTACGGGATTTGTTTAGTCATTAGCATGACAAACGTTTCCATGGCATCAGTTGCTCTATAAGAACACGCTACGTTCCTTTCGCCCACAACCTAACTACTACAGAGGAAAGCGAGCGAAGCGAGCGCGCCCGGCCGACGTTTCGAAATTCGCGCGCAAGAATTTCGAAAAGTCGGCTGGTCGTGCTCTTTTTCCACCTACATCATAAGATCACGTTACGCTCGTTTCACCCACCTACTAACCACTACTTGGCAACTACGCATTTCCTCACCACGAGATTTGGGTTTCTGTTTAGTCGTTAGCATAATAAGCGTTTCCATGGCAACAGTTTCTTTATAACTGATTTCGGCTAAACTAAAGTGAACATTAAATAATCTATAACTTGGCAACTACGCATTTCCTCACTGCCGGATTTGGATTTTTGTTTAGTCCTTATCATGACAAGCGTTTGCATGAAAACAGTTCTTCCGTAACTGATTTCGGCTAAACTAAAGTGAACACTAAATGATCTATAACTTGGCAAATACGCATTTCCCCACCACGAGATTTGTTTTTTTGTTTAGTCGGTAAGATGACAAGCGTGCCCAGTGCCCATGGCAACATATTTTGCATAACTTATTTCAGTTAAATGAAATTAAACAAAAACCGTAATCATCTACAACTTGGCAACTACGCATTTCCTCACCATAAGATTAGGGTTTTTGTTTACTCATAGCCATCACAATTGTTATTATGATAATAGTTTTTGCATAACAGACTTCGGCTAAACGAAAGTTGAGCCCAATAATTCTTCATCTAACTATCCCAGCCCAAACATTTAACTTTTGTGGATATTGGGATTATGTTCAGACTAATATAAGTAATTTTGTTTATTTAAAAAAGTCACCAAGATTCCACGGAAAAGAGAATATTGTTTTTCAACATATTATTTCCATTAATAACATCCATCATTTTCTGACAGAATTGCATTACTCTACCTGGGTAATTTTCATTCTTGGTGTACTTGCACTTTATAGGAATGAAGTTTTTGGTTCTTCCTGTACACTTAGAACGCACATTAAGTGCATTTTCCTCATCAATGCCTATCCCCTTCCGTCCAGATCTGGGATTGTTTTTCACACTTCGTTTTTTAGTGAACTTGCTCAAATTTCTGAATACTGTAGATTTAGAAATCGGGGAAATCCTAACAGAAAATGTTTTATTGAACAAATCACAAGCGCCTTACAGAGATCTCTTTCTGTCTCCAAATAATCATCATTATCATCAATAGTGTAATTCTTTCACATTCACTCAGTTTGTGATCCATGGTTTAAATTAATAAAAATTCTCAGTAGTATCAAATGTTGAGAGTTATTTATTGTCGCGTATTGGGCTAGTTTGGGCCAAATGAATAGACTTGTAATTAAACTTAACTTGCCTAATTGTCGCCATAAACAAGAATGATTTAAAGTTCACAGATTAATAAAAGGTGACCGATAATATTATAAAAAACCAAGTAAACAGTAACACAAAAACATTGGTAGATATTACTGTCAGAGATGTACAAGAATCGTATTAAAAAAACTGAGTGATTAATATTGAGATGTCAATATGACACTTATAATGTCGAAAACTGAAACCATGGCAAAACAATTTAAATTGGTACATTACAAGATAGTACATACAACTTTATGGATAGTTATTCATTAATTATTCAAAACAAGAAAAGATATATCTGAAAAAATATATAAATACATGGTGGTTCATTTAAAATTTTATCCGAATGTCTTGATAAATATAACAGATGACGAAAATCCCCAAGCATCATCTAAAGTGCATAAAGAATACGAAAAAAATTTCAGTACAATCCATAATTGAGCCCCAAACGTTCTGCCAATTTTGCCCAACCCTGTATATTAATCATAGAACTGAAATTAGGAGAATGGATTTGACGATTTAAGAAACGTTCTTACAAGGGGAATGAAATTAAGTTTTTTTTATTTTCCCAGTAGGTGCCAAAAGGGCCGTAACTGTAAAAATAATATAACCAAATGTTTCAGAAAAAATTATTTCTCTAAAAAACTGTTTTTCTTTTTTTAATCAAAACTGCATAGAAATATTTAAACATAATATGTATAGAGTGGATAAGGAGTTTTAAACTTTGTTCTTAAAATATGAAGATTTAACCCAAATCACTTAGAATATTGTTCCATACTGAGTTACATGGTGTTTATTTCCCATTAGTGGTCCTTCTATCCGAGGACCTCTTTGGTTTTTTGTTTGTCTTAAATCGCATTGATTGACCCCAAGTTCTTTCCTAAAAATTAAATAAAAAAACAAAATATGTGTTATTTCATAGAAGTGCAAAGCTTTTCTTGAATATAGATGTTGATTATTTTCTGTGATATTGTTACAAATGACGTATATACGTTATTTACATAGAATGTATAGGACAATCTTAAAACGAATATTTTCGAAATGTGGTCATTCGAACTCTTGTATTTTCGAAGTTTTATTATTCGAATTTTTATAGTTCGAACTATTTTCAAAATTTTATCATGTTCTGAATCAAACTTTTATTATTCGAACTTATTTAACTAACTCATTTTTTTACTATACATTTTAATTTTCAGATTTCATGTTTTCTGTCAACGCAGTGGCTGGCAATATTCCCGCTGAGGAAATCGAAGAATATAAAGAATATTTTTTTGAGCTAATTGATAAGGAAGTCTTACTTGAAGACAATAAAACTTTTGATAGTGAAGGTAGAAAATGTCGTTTTGTAAAACTAAGATTATCTCTTCTCGAGGCGATTAAAACGAGAGATTAGACAAACACATTCAGGGCCCAAAAATATATGTTCTTTATAGAAATATACATCAAGTGTTAAAAAATAGTTTAATAGCAAAGTTTGTAAAAAAGTTGAATGTCAACAATAATTTACAACAATTCTTGATATTCGATTGTATATAATACTGCCCCCCATGTAATGGATTTTATTATTTATTATTTATTATTAATTTCACATACCTGATGGTGAGGCTTAAGCCGAAGCTAGTTGAGTATCAATAATGTATAAACCTTTTTCTCACAATATATTGTGCTATGACTTTGAGTATGTTATTTCCTACACCTCTTAATTAACTTTATAAAATCATTAATTATTCATTATTCATTCATTCATTTATAAATAATTTAATAAATTAAAGTGATTAAAATATAAAAAGTTTATCATTTTATTTTTCAATTCATTTGACTTTTTTATCAACCTTGGGAAATCATTAAGTAATGTAGCCTTATAAAACTACACTAGACTGGTGATTAAAATATAAATAGTTTGTCATGTTATTTTTCAAATCAATTGACTTAAATTATACCTGTTTTTGATATAATTGTTTTTTCTTTTGTAATTCTAATTCAATGTCTATTTTGAAAACACATTTTCAACAAATTACAATTAAATTATATTATTGTTAGGTCATAACGCACTATTACGATTCTACATTAGGTATCAGTGATCGTTATCCATTTGCCATTTTAATATATCTCTAGTATATGTAGTAATTATTTCAAACATACAAATAAACCCAACTATTAGCTGAGTATTTTTATTTCTAATTGGTTCTGATAGCGTGTACTGAAAATACTCGAAATAATTCAGGATCTATTAGTACAAGTATTTTGCCCGTTATTAAAAGTATTGGAACATATTTTAGCTGGGCAAATAGAAAATATCTAAATAAATTTAATTTATTACCCACAAAACAATTCGAATTTTGCAGTGATCGCAGATAGGCCATTATCTTTGCTGATGTAGTTGATGATTTCATTTAGACTGAAGATATCAATAAAATAAGTATATTAGTATATTATTCCAAAGTTTTTGTTACATTAAATCATCAAATGCTGCTGATAATCATTCATTATTTAGTATAAAAAATCCTTTTTAAGCGATTGATATCAAATAGATGAAAATATGTAACAAGAAATGAAATTAAAGCTAGGAGTCTCTCAAGGCAGTATCCTTGGTCCACTATAATGCACTATGTACACTCTCAATAGTCTCCAATTTATTTAATAGCGATTTAAAAATTTTTGCTAAACTCTCATTTCATCACCTACTGAAATTAAATCCACCTAAATCATCTGCTTTACTATTATGTAAGGAACCTATAAGAATTAAAGTTCCAAACCAGATGCGGTTAAAAATAAATTCTAAAACTTTTCCTTTCAATTAAAATGGAAATACATAAACAAAAGTGCACTGCTTTGATTTTGCTTGATTTTTTTAAGGCATTTGATTCTTTTTGTCATGACATTTTGTCGGTTTCTCTTCTAATGCAATGGGCCATGTTCATATGTGAGATATGCTGTTTTATAAATTATATTGTAATAGTTAGTCCCTATACAAGTTATTCTAAATAGTCAGTTCGTTAAAAAAGCCAAAAGTTTTCAAATTAAGCCCAATTGAAATTTAAAATTTGAAATTATACGTCATCGCGAATAGACCAATCATCTTGTGTCGAAGTTTTTTTTGTTATACAAAACCAAGCCAACGAACAAACCGACACACAGAATGTCGAAGTGAACGCATATCTAAGTGGCATTAAAATTGACACCACCTAACACCTAACCTTAGTTTTTTATTTTGGTATAATTTTATTATTAATATGAATTTATCAGCTGGATTTATAAAAGCTGAATCATGTGTTTTACCCATTGTAAACGAAACTATGATTACCGAGATGATTACTGCATTTTTTAACAATACTTAGTTTACAAAAGACAGAAAGGTAAGACTTTATTTATAATTTGTTTTAATGGTAGGTAGTTACAGTTTATATGGAGCAATACACCTTATAGTAAAACATATTTATCTCAGGTTTTATTTTTAGATCTGCCAAGCAAGAATATGGAGATAATTACTTTTTCCATAAGAGAGAAGGAGACAAATTACACCTAAACATAAAGTAGGGCAAAAACCTTATGATGTGGTTGTTGTAATTAACAAAAATGAAATTTTTAGTGCACAATGCTTAGGATATGCTGCATCTCAAGGTTTGTAATATTTATTATGCTTTTTTGTTTTTATATCACATATAATAAACAGTGTATAAGGCCCTTTATTCCTATAAATATTTTTTTTCTAATTTTGACATATAAAGAGACATTTTTTGTAATCGCAGCAAGTGTTAAAATAATCTAGAAATAGATTTTGTTAGTACACCTAGTAATAATTATGATACTAAAGAATGCTGCAGAGCACCTATGAAATTTTGAGTTAAAACATATGCCATATTTTTAGGCTATTTTTATACCCTTTTCAAAAATTTTATGCTCCTCGTTTTGTGCAAAACTTAAAATGCACATGAAATATTATCATTTTTTTTTTCTAAAAAAAAAATGATATTTTTAAAAAATACATGGTGCTTGCTAACCTTCGAAAGAAACCAGCAGAGCAATTCGGTTTTTTAAAGCTTTTTTCTAAAATCCACACCCCATTTTTAGAATATTTTTAGACTCTTGAAATATTGTAAAACTTTACTAAAAAAAATTGCTATTTTTAAATAATACACGGTGCTTTGTTGGAACAAAGTCAGCAGGACACTTCAGTTTTTTAATTTGTTTTTTATATATAAAAACAACTAATTATAACACATGTTTAGGCTGTTTTAAAATCCTAACAATGTGGTAAGTATATTTGTTTTCAAAAAAAAAACTTTGAAATCAGCAAGGAATTGCGAATTTTTTTAAAAATGCTAAATTTCGAATATTTTATAATATTGTAGGAGCCAAAAAACGTGGTGTGGTTTAAAAAAAAAAAAACTGGGGTGCTCTGCTGGATTCGTTTGAAGCTAACAAAGCATCCCGTAATTTTTTATTTTGTAATACTCAATAGCCTAAAATGAGACATAGCTGTTTAAACAAAAAATTGTACTTTTAAAAATAGCAGTTTTTTTAGAAAAGCTCTCTATTTCAAAAATTTGAAAATGTGCTGAGATTGTTTTTTTTTAAGTTTTGAAAGTCCGAGGTTCTTTACTGGATTCGTTCTGCTCGTCTTGTTACATAAAATAAGGCATTTTGTAGCTGGTTATATAGTTATTTTGCAACTGCATATCTAACCCTTTTATTTTTTTCAGGTGGTTGCAAACATGTGGCTTCATAGAAAAAGTGAGGAACCATCTGTAACATCTACTCAGTGTTATTGGAAAGGCTCTAATTTATCAAAATGCGTAAATATTGATGTACACTTGGCTAGATTGTTAAAGAAACCTCTTCATCCACTACAGGAAATTAAATCAGTACTTTTATGTTCTTAGGATTTGTATATATATTTTTTATTTGTAAATACATTGTTGTTTACTTCATTTTTCTCATTTTTTATTAAAAGGTTAATAAATAAAATTTTCAGATTTTTATATTTTTGTTTGTAAACAATAATTGAAGAGTTTTTATTAAAAATCACCAATGTTAATAATAATAACTTAAGTCAATATTATTCTTTTTTAAAGCTACTATCAATAATGGTATTACTTTAGCTTGACCTATGATCAATTTTTAATTTTGTGATATATTTGGTCTGACAGAAAAAAATTATAACCCTTTGACATTGGTTGTTTTTACTTAGATTTTCATAAAAAATAAACGGAACTGCAAACATGTTTTACTATCGTAATAACGAATAGCAACATTCAATTTTTTTTTTCACATTTATCACTGTTGTCATTTTCGTAAAGGATTGATAAGAATGCACACTTTCTGGTTTTTTGAAAAAGGTAGCAAGATTTGTAATATTTTTAAATTTATCACCAGTGATACCACATGTAGTTACCCGATTTATTGGAATATATAGACTTTGTTACCACATTCAACTGAACTTGGTTGTTTTTAATATTTATCAGTGTGACATAGGCGTTTTTGTTAAAATATTTCATTTTAAACTGCTGTAAATAGGTACCTTTGGTTTGGTAGTTTTAGTCCCAAAAAAATCTATGCATATACAGGTACTCATTCCTCTTTGATTTGCTCGAAAAGTTAAAATTTTATAAAAAATTACATTGTCTGTTTAAAAACTCATTATAATCCCTGAAATGTGATAATTAGGTAAATTAAATTAAATTAAAAAACAATTAAAAAAAGATTATTAAATTAATATTTACTCTTACAAAATAGGTTCTTGTAAGTTAACAAGCAATTATGCAGATATTACTAAGTAAATGTACTTGCTTAAAATTCACCCAGAAATGTGGTTTTAACATGTTAAATTAACTAACCCTTCTTATAACTCTTTCCACATGTATTCTTAGAGATGCTATTGTTTTACTTAATTGTACATCTTCTTTTTTTCATTCTGTGATACACTAGGTGTGGCTTTACTAAAGTGCATCCCATGTTTTCAAGTAGCTGAATATTCTGAAACCCCTATCTGCCATTATATGGGATCCAGGAACCATTTTGTTTAAATACCCACATTTTTCTATCATATCTTTATCACTAGTTCTTCCACAAAATGATGAATAAATTGGGTATCTTCAATACTTTCAGGAGATTCTGCATTTTCTTCCAGAAGGGTTTTTAGGTTATACACCTAAGAATTTATAGTAGCCTCATTTTCAATTTCTTGAAGGGGACAATTATCAGAAATTGCTGCTACATCTTGATAATCCGGTAAATTTTTATTAAAAAGTTCACGAGAAACATCGATAGTGGAAGGTTGATTTTCTTCTTTCCAAATTTCTAGGAACACTAATTAATATTTTTGAAGATGAATGTGAATCATTATCACATTCTGGAACAAAACACTTTTTCGTAGTCATAATATTTATAAAAAGTACAAAATTAAACACTCAAATTTCAAATAAATTCTTGATCGAGGCACTATGATGACAGATGCCATACACAGTGCTGCCATTTTGTCATTTTCTGAATTATTAGGCGACTTTTAAAACAATGAAACTTTAAATATGGTAAAAGTTTAAACAGAAATAATACTTTCAAAAAACATTTGATATTATATATTTAAAAGATATTTGTTTAACGATGTTTTAGAAGTCTAAAAGTAAGAAGGAGTACACAAACGAACGTACATCACTTCTCGTAAATCTTCTAGCCGACAACGTTGTGGCGCTAGCTCCTATTGGTCTATGTCCGGTGACGTCATACATTTTAAAAAATTAATAACTCCGGCAAATGAATAGATAAAAAAAAAATTAAAAAAAATATAGTTTTACTTTTAACTCTATTATTCATAAAAAAAATTTCGAAATTTTTGAACATGCCCCATTATGCTTCTGA